GGCGCGGCGCCGGGCGCTGACCCGGGAGATCGAGGAGCTGCGGGCAGAGCTGGTGGAGCTGGACGCCCAGATCGAGCAGTCGCAGGCGGAGCTGTGCAGTGACGGTGAGGCCTGCGGGCACGGCAGGGGCCAGCAGGGGAGGGGGGGTTGATATCCCTCCAGAGAATCAGCTGTGTGTCGACCGTGTGTGCAGTTTAAATCTCGAGGAGCTAAAAAATGAACAATCAAACTTCAAAAGCAAAGACTTCTGAGTCCCAAAATTCGTGGGAGAAATGTGCGATTTAATTTCCTTATGGATGATCTTATAATAGTTATTTTCGATTGTTGCAGTAATTAGTGAAGATGTTTCTAGGCAAATATTTTTCCAATTTATTATTAAGAACATGAGAATTGTCATGAATGTTATCAGCTGTTTGGTTAATTTTAATGAATATTGTGTTGAGGGCTGGTCACAGAAAGACTCTCCAGCTTTAGCCAGATGTCAGAGAAGAGCGACAAAAATGTTTCGTGGTGTTTGGGAGGGGTCTGGTCATATATTCCTCGCCTGGTGGTCGAGACACCACCTTTGGGCATCTTGTGGAAATTCGTCTCCAGTTCCCTCGCTCTCCCTGCTGTCCTCAGACAGGGCTGTGGGTCAGTGCTGGGACCACTGCTCGGAGGCCAGGCGCAGGAGGGTCCTGCTCCAGGCGATGGGAGTGCGCTGTGCCCAGGAGCGCCACTCTCTGTGGCAGGATCGCCGGCGGATCAGTGGGCACTGCCAGGCCCTGGCGGAGCTGGCCAGGTAGGGTTCCCCAGCGGGGTGCTGCCCGGGCTGTCACCCTGTCTGTCCTTGTGGCACAGCAGCAGACAGGGCGCTCTGAATGTGAAATGAGACTCCTCACCCGTCTGTGGATCAGGGGTCACTGATCACCCCTGCTGACGCGATTCCTCTGGAGCAGGATCAGACCTTCGGGGTCAGAGGTTCAAGCTCGGGGTCACATCGCTGGCTGCCCTGGGTCATGCAGGTGGTTTTCCCCAAGACTAGGCACACACAAAACGCTGATGCCTACAGGGAGAAACTGGGTTCAGCACAAATTCTCCTTCCCTGAGCTTGCTGATTGTCTCCAGGTGCAATCAGGAGTCATTGTCTTACATTCTTCTGCATGATTCCCAAACTCGCTGGGGATATAGTATAAATGATGGTCATTTCACAAATGTAGTGAACCCTGACTCATTTAAAACAGATGTGTGTGTGTTCCAGAAACTAAATTTTAATTGTTCACCATTGCAGACTGGTCTCCACCTGGTATTATGTTATGGATATGAGGTCTTGTAACAGGATGGGATTTTAGTGTAGGTCAAATGCATGAGAACCCTTTTCTTGTCTTTCAGGAAAGCAGAAGTGGAGCTGGTTTTTGGGGATCCCTCTGACAGCAGCACAGATTCTCTGGGGTCCACAGGCCCTGAGCCCCAAGCTCTAGTGAGTTTGACCCCCCCCCAGACAAGGCATGCCTAATTCTGGCAGACAGCTCTTACTTTCTCCAGATTTGTTGTCTTAGATTGATGTTAATCGTCAATGTTCTGGGGAGAGTTAAAGCATTTAGTTTCAAGATGTTGGTGTTTTGTCATGACAGTGTTCTTCATCTTTGGATATCATGAAGATGGTTTCTATTATGACCATATGTGTTCTATTGCGATAGTCTACAACAGTCCAGGTTCCTAACCTGTGACTGTGCAGGGTGGATTGTGATAGCACAGCTCCGGTTGTGACGGTGTGTGTTCCTTGGTGTGTCTCAGCGTGAGGTGAGAGAGCTGTGTGAGGACAGGCTGCAGTTCTTCTGGACCCTGCTGGAGAGCGAGCTGAAGGCTGCCCCCTTGAGTGGTGTACAGTAAGTCATGTTCAGGAATGGTCTTATTTAGGAGCAGATAACTGCTTTTCTTTCCACCCGTTTTCAAACTGCTTCTCCCAGTTCAGGAAAGCTGGAGGCTAATGCAGCAGGCCCAAGGCAGGGCACACCCTGGACAAGAGTCCAATCCAGCTAGGCCACACGCAGACACAGACACACACTCACACCAGTTTTCCCACCAGCATGTCTCTGGACTGTGGGAGGAAACTGGAGCACCTGGAGGAAACCTACAGTACATGAACACACAAACTCCACACAGATGGCACCCCAGGAATTGAACCCAGGGCCCCAGTGCTGTGGGGCAGCGGTGCCGACCCCTGTGCCACTGGCTGCCGTTTAACTCCTTTTTGTACATGAAAATCATCCAGTTTACAAAGCCTGTCTGGCGTTCATGTGGACAGAAGGGAGTCCTGACTCATTCTTTGGGAATTTTGTTTTTCTAAAGTGCAAATGGTCTCAGTTTTAAGATGCCTTTTATATGTCAGTGGTGTAGTAAATTGTAGTTAATGTACTGGAGTGTCCAGTCAGTGTGTCTGTATTAACCCCTCTCTCTCTCTCCAGTCTGTCTCAGGAGGAGCGCAGTGCTGTGTTTCAGCGTTGGCTCAGCTCAGTGGAGGTAGGAGCCTGTTCCTCTTGTCTGAGGTTTTGCAGGGTGTTTATAATGAGAATGTCAGTGGTAGGAGGGCGTCTTTCGATCACTAGAAGTGCTTGCACAGGTATTCTATCACGCTTTCCATTTTTTTTATTCTGCTTTTTATGGATCTTTGTCTCCTGCTTTCTGCCTCTATCCCGGGCAGGACCTGATGCGCACCCACCCTCCCAGCCACCTGCTCGCCGCCCTGCAGCACCTGGCCTCCCGGCAGCAGGGGGCGCTGCAGGAGAAGCTGGAGCAGCTCGACCTGTCGCGGGACGTGGCGGCTCTCGGGTGAGCAGCGCTCTGCTGGCTGTCTGGACAAGAGGGCCCATCTGTGTGCACCTCTAAGGTTCTTGGGGAGATAATTCAGTTTTTTAGAGGGTTAATACTTTCTTCAGGGGGGTGCAAGTTCTCTCCTGCAGCTCTGTGAAAGTCTGTGGAGTGTCAGTGGACCTAGAACTTCAGTGTCAAATTAGCAAAGATTAACAACCTTTTTATTGTGCTGTATAAAGTAGGTAGTAACGGATGGATCGCATGGATGTCCAGCTCCTGTCTCTTCTGCAGTAGGGCAGAACGGTGTTCATACAGCCCATGGCGCTGGAGCTGGACCGTTTCCTTTCCCACAATGCATCAGTGCTGTGTCCCTGTCCCGCCTCAGGTTCCGCTACGAGAGTGACCACCTGCTGGACCTCTCCAAGGAGACGGCGGCGCCGCTGCCTTCGGTCAGGCTGCTCCTGCAGGTACCTGCGGCCCGGGGTATTCTGGGAACAAGACACTACACACGCACACGAGACACAGGGTTCCCTCGGCCGCGGAGAGACGCTCACTGTGTTTCATAAGGAATATCATGCTTCTGGACCCCAGGGCCTTGTTGGTGCACGGTCCCCTGTTGGCAGACCTTATGGGCTGGAAATGATGTACCCTACCTTACTACCCCAGAGCATTCAGCTGCATCTCAACAGCACAATGAAGTGGCCCAGCCAGCCGTGATGCACCAGCTCATAGCTCTTATGTAAACGTGTCTCCTCTTATTTGTTAACTCCCTGAATGTTTGGAATCATGTTTCGTATGATGCTTTGTAACCTTGACCAGCCATCAATGTCTGAGGCCTGGAAGGACTCCCCCCTTGATATTCGTTGGAAACTGCAGTAGAACAGGAAGTCCGGGCAGAAGGGCATTGTGGGAGGGGGTGGTGCTGGATCTTCTCTGGTGACCTTTACACCTGCTGCCCTTTGCAGGAGGCCTGGGAGACGGTGGAGAGGTGCCAGGTCCAGCTGGCGGCGATGCGGGCGCAGGACAGGCAGCAGAGCGCCCTGCTGCAGGCCAGGAAGAGCGAGGCTTTCCAGGCCGCGTGCGCCGGCGACGCCCAGGTCGAGCCCCTGCTCAGGTAACGTCCCGCTCGGCCCCCGTGATGCGCTGGTTGCTGGCTGGGTTTGCTGTTGTGGGGAGGCAGCTGGGTCTCTGGTGATTCTCCTGTGTGGGTTTTTGCAACGTTGTCTTCTGCCGAACCGGCTGCGCAGGGCGGCGCTGGAGCTGGAGCTGCAGCTGGCCATGGAGACGGCGCTCCGGGACTCCCTGCAGCGCCAGGGCGAGGCGCTGGAGCAGGGCGCCCGCAGCCGCAAGGAGGCCCTCCTCGCCCTCCAGGCCAAGCGGCAGAACATCATGGACTTCCGGCAGCTGGTGGTGAGTGCGGCTCGACCTGGAAAGGATAGTTGAGGGCAGAAGTCGCCATTCCAAACCGACAGCGATTCAGATTCTTCCAAGTGCGGACTCACAATTTACCACACATGAAGCACATGCAAGTTG